AAACTCAAGACTCATATATTAACCCATCAACTAAACCCAAGAAAAAATCTAGGCACATCCCATCAACAAAATTTTATCTTTATAGAGTTTCATATCTCATTACTAAAAAAAAAACTATATTATAGTTTACTAATGCTTTTGTATTTCAATTTTTTTTTTTACAAAACCAATATATACAAAAGATGAAATATATTTTAGGATTTTCTAAAAACTGAAAACCGATCGAATCCAAACCGAAAAAAATTGGATTGGATCGGATCGGATTTGAAAAAAAATCCAAACCGAATGGATGATTATATGATCAAACCGAAGAGATTGGATCAGATGATTTCTTCTTTCAAAACCGATCCAATTCAGATCGCGAATACCCCTAGTCTCACACATCAGGTATTTTGAATTCAAATTTTCAAAATGGATTTGTTAATCCTATTAAACAAAATTTATTTATGGGTTCGCTTTTTTGCAGTAAGTTCAATACGATGTTATTTTGGGACAAAAATCATGGTGTTTTTATAATTTTAATTTATTTCAGTATTATTATAGTCTTTATAATTATAATTTTGTAATTTTTCAATCCCAAAACGACATTGTTTTGGGAGTAAATGCTGATAATTTATCTGCAATAACTGCCAGAAATATTTTTTCTGTTTATTTATTTATTAAACCTAGTTATCAAGTGCAATGGTCGACAATTCAATGCCATACTTCATTTGAGCATTCTCTTCTTCTTCACATTGAATTGTTAGTTCTTTTCTGTTGTCTAAAAATGGTGGCGTACGAGGAATCACGCCGCAAAAGAATGGAGGCTCTGAATCTACCTCAGCTTTCTCTAGCAGTTCATAAGCTTCATTCTTCATCTACTCTCCCTCTCCTCTTAAGCACGCCAAATCTCGTACCATCCATAAACAACTTGTTATTGTAAGGAGGTCAAGCCGTGTTGCCAACATGCCCGCTCCTGTTTACAAAGAAGTGAGTTTTCAATTTCAATTTCAATTTCAATTACAAAGGATGGAACAAAACTTTGGTTTTAGTGGAGTATCAAAGTGGGTACTACTTTTTCGTATTTGGTAAATTTTTTATCACTTTTTTCAAAAAAATGTTTCCCGTTACATTGATTTTTTTTTTTCAAATGTGGGAAAAGAGAGTATCCACTAAGGTGCTCTCTCATTGTACCAAAGTTTTATTCCCTTTAACAAAATTTTGGTAATACGAGAGGGTAAAATGTGTGTCATTTTAAAGGATGTAAAATTGTGTCATTTTAAGAGAGAGAAAGAGATAGATAAAGGAGGAGAGAGAGTTGACAAAAAAAATAAAGGTGTGGGTTCCACTTATTTGTGAGAGTGAAAGGATATAAGTTGTGTCATTTAAAAGGATAAACACTTTTTCCAATACGAGAATATTCAAATCCTAAGTGGGTACTATATTTTTTCACATTTTGAAAAAAAACTATCACTATTTTTTTTTAAAAAAAATCCCACATTGAAATATTTGTTAACATGGAAAAAGGGAGTACCTAAGTGGGTACTTGCTTTTTCCACAATTGAAAAAAAATTATTGACTTTTGAAAAAAAAAATTCCATCATACTTAAAAAAATTTCAAATGTGAAAAAAAGGAGTATGCACTTCAGTACTCCTGTAGTACTAAAGTTTTGTTTCTTTCGAAAAAAAATTTGGTACTACGAAAGTATCCAAGTGGGTACTTCATTTTTTTCATTTTTGTAAATTTTTCATCACTTTTCAAAAAAATATTTTTCCGCCACATTTAAAAATTTTCTAAATGTGAAAAAATGAGTACTCAACCAAGTCACTTGGGTACTCCCGTAGTACCAAAGTTTTGTTTACTTCGAACAAAATTTTGATACTACCTTGCTACTCACTTTTTTCATATTTGAAATTTTTTTCATAATTTTTGAAAAATAAAAAATTCTCCCCACAATGAAATTTTTTCCAACTATAGAAAAATGTAGAACCCAAGCACTATAGTACCAAAGTTTTATTTTCTTCAAACAAAATTTTGGTTTTACGAGAAAACTCAAGTGAGTACTCCCTTTTTTTTCTCATTTGAATATTTTTTCATTTTTTTGAGAGATAAATTTCTCTGCCATATTGAAATTTTTTCCAAATGTTGAAAAAAAGAGTATTCACTGAGTATTCCCATTGTACCAAAGTTTTGTTCCCATTCCATTCGAACAAAATTTTGGTACTACTGGAATAACAAAGTGGGTATTATCTTTTTCTAAACTTGATGACAATTTCAATAATATTTGAAAAAAAATAATTCTCGTCATATTGAAAATTTTCAAAATGTGATAAAAGGGAGTATCCAAGTGGGTACTTACTTTTCCATCAGTTGGAAAAAATTTCATCGATTTTGAAAAAAAAAAATCTTGCCACATTGAGAAATTTTCCAAATGTGAAAAAATGGAGTACCCACCCTCGTACCTATGTTGAGACTCTCTTTTTCCACATTTGTAAAAGTTTTCAACATTTTTGAAAAAAATATTTTCCTGCCACATTAAATTTTTTTCTAAATGCGAAAAATAGAGTACCCGTTTGTACGAAAGTTTTGTTCACTTTGAACAAAATTTTGGTACTACGAGAGTGTATCCAAATGGGTACTCTTTTTTTTGCACTGTAAAATTTTTTCATCATTTTTGAAAAAAAATTACCACTACATTGAAAAAAATTTCAAATGTGAAAAAATGAAGGAAAAAGTGTGTATAATTTTAAAGGATGTAAAGTTGTATCATTTTAAGAGAGAGAAAGAGATAGATTAAGGAGGAGAGAGAGTTGACAAAAAAAAATAAAAATGTGAATCCCACTTATTTGTGAGAGTGAAAGGATATAAGTTGTGTAATTTTAAACGATAGACACTTTTCCCAAAAATAAAATATCCAAGTACCAAAGTTTTGTTCCTTTCGAACAAAATTTTGATACAACAGGAATTCCCATGTGGACACTTCTTTTTTCTTTTACATTTGTAAATTTTTTTATCTCTTTTGAAAAAAGATATTTTTCCGTCACATTGAAATTTTTGCTGAATGCGAAAAATAGAGTAGCCACTTGGGTTTACCGTTGTACCAAAGTTTTGTTCTTTTCAAACAAATTTTTTTATGAAAAAAATATTTATTCTTTTAAATGACACAATTTATATCCTTTCATTTTCATAAAGAGGTAAGACCCACAATTTTATTTTTTTGTTAACTCTCTCCTCCTTTATTTATCTCTTTCTCTCTTTTAGAATGATACAATTTTACATCTTTTAAAATGACACACTTTTTCCATTTTTTATACTACAAAAGTACCCAAGTGAATACTTTTTTTTCCACATTTGTAATAGTTTTCATCGCATTTGATAAAAAAAAATTTTGCCACATTAAATTTTTTTCCATATGTGAAAAAAGATAGTACCAACTTGGGTACTACTATAGTATCAAAATTTTGTTCCTTTCGAACAAAATTTTTATACTACAAGAGTATGGGAGTGAGTACTCCCTTTTGTCACATTTGTAAAAAACTTCATCTCTTTTGATAAAAAAATTTCCAGCCACCTTGAAAAAAAATTTCAAATGTGAAAAAAAAATGAGTACTCATTCGGGTATTTCTGTTATATCAAAGTTGTTCCCTTTGGGAAAAAAATTTGGCACTACGGGGGTGTTTGGTAAGTGGTAAAAAAAAATTTGCCATGGAAAGTGTGGTAGGGAAAATGCATTTGCCATGTTTGGTAGGGGGAAAAATAAAGTGAAGGTTGGAAATGAATTTTGCTGTCAACTTCTTTTCCACCATTTTTCATTGTGGAAGTTTGCCATTGAAAACATGGAAAAAGAAATTGGCGACGCGGGGGAAAATGGAAACATTTTTGTGAGACAAAAACACCCTCCAGCCAATCCTCTATGAAGACCACAATTCACACCTCCATGCACGAGCTACAAAAGATATCGAATGAACGTGAACCCTTAAAATATCCAACCAATCCTCTACGAAGACCACAATTCAAGGTGTTATCAAGTCTGCAAGTTGATTGAACCACAACAAAACAATGAAAATTAATCTGCCAAGTATGTCAAGTTCCAATAAGAGAGATAACAATGGGTGAAAAAAGCAAGAGTAATATGCTAAAATGGATTAACCATAAAGATGAAGCTCACAACTCAGTATTCTGTCTAACTAAAATTATATGTAAGTAGTTGAATACCATATGCGTGTTGTACCTTCCTCACAACCAGTAACGATAACAGGAAAATTAATACATAAAACTTCTCATAAGAACTAATCCTGTAATTATTTTATACTTAAAAAAAGTACCACAAACTTAAGATTGTTCTGTATGTTTAACTTACACACTTCATGTAGCAATTTCCATTGCAACAATTTCAGGATAAAAAAAAGATATTCATGCCTTCCTCCTCCATACAGAAATTCAACAATATTTAACTTTATGGGTAGTTTGGTAATTTTGGTTAAGATTCCCATCATTTTTTTATAATCAACCAAACATAGTTACTAAAATTAATCCAAGTTTCCTGGAAAAAAAATTGGTCTACCAAATATCTTTTCGCAACTTTTCCCGTAAAAAAAATTTGCTCACTTTTTTTCCTGAAAAATTTTGTTCCCAGTAAAAAAAAATTTCTCATGTACCAAACACCCCATACAAGAGAGTATTCACTTGGGGATATTTTGGTTGTACCAAAGTTTTGTTTCCTTCAAACAAAATTTTTGGTATTACAAGATTACCCAATTGAGTATTTCCTTTTTTGATATTTGGATAAATTTTTATCTACTTTCTTTTTTCACATCTAAATTTTTTTTTTATCACTTCTAAAAGGAAAATTTCTGGCCACATTGAAATTTTTTTCAAATGAAGAAAAAAGAAGTATCAAAGTTTTGTGCTCCTCCGGAGATGAAAAGGAGGGAGAAGACATCATTGACCACACATTTCGAAGGCTTTGAAAATAACCCATTTCAACTTTTTCTCCGATTTTAATTTTAGTTATTGCAAAACACAAACCACCCAAAAAAAAATAAGAATCAAAAGAATAAGGGGAAAAAACACCCACTTTCTTCTTTTTCTTCTTCTTGCATCTGGGTTTCTGAAAACAAATTTTGTGACTGGCACAATCTCCACTCAAACAGAAAAAGAAAAAAACTTTCAGGTTTCTCCATTGTCTATTCTGTTTTTTACAATCCTTGTTTATTTTGTAGATGACCCAGTGGAAAATTTGAGATTTTTTTTTATTTGATGCATACCCATTTGAATATTGGATCTCTTTTTGCTATAGCTGTTTGAGATTCCTTTATACTGGTGGCAGTGTGTTGAATTATGTTATGATGTTTACTTTTAAGAATTATTTTATTCCCAATTTCTTCATTCTGGTTCTTATGACATGAATTTTTATAAGAACATTTCAAACCTCTAAAAACTTTCAATGATTTGTCTAGTTTCCCATGCCAGAGTACTCTGCATTTTATGTGGATATGGATATGTGCCTGAGAGAACTCTTACTTAACATTTTCTTTTATTTCTAATTTTTGCAGGATACTTGAGTGATTGACTTTGAATGAAATCCTGTTATTTCATTATTGAAACTCAATTGAAGTGATTCACTAGAAAACTTATTCTTCATAGTCCTTGAGTTACAACTGAAGCTATTAGATTTCTTTTAACTCCACCTGTTTCCTTGGATCTCTGAGCATAGCTGGGAATCAAGATCAGTTCGAAATCATGTTTCAGTTGACTGATGGTTCTGATATTGGCCCCAAAAGTTTCCTGCTGCTACTAGTATTGCAACACTGAAAGTGGCCTTAAGAGAGACTGGTAGTTTGGTTTTGATATTGGTTCTGATATCAACGTGATAACTAAGTATTGTTCCTGTTTATGGGAGAGAACCTGCATTTATTGCATGCAGGGCTAGTCCCATATGCGTGTTTGACTACACTAGTTTGGAAAAACTTTTCCAATGCGTATTAACTGGGTAATTCTTCTTTTGCCTAACTGCATCTGAATGGTGCTTTTGCCAAATAAGTATCTTGTGGGGTCCACATTTAGTATTAAGGCATCAACATTGTTATGTGATCATCTCAATCTGAAAGAAGCATATAATTCAGAATGGTAAGTGTGGAGCGTTTTCACAGAGTGATTCCCTGTGAACCCACGCCCGGTGGAAAGCTCTCCTTGTCGAGCTTCGACCAATACAGACTCTACACACATATTCCTCTCCTTCACATCTACAGATCCAAATCCATTCATCATCATCATGATGATGCCTCTGTCACTCTCATGGAAACTCTCACCAACTCTCTCAGTAAAGCATTGGTTCACTACTATCCACTCGCTGGCCGCTTATGTGCAATCCATGGTGGCCGCTGGGAACTCAACTGCAACTCCATGGGAGTACACCTCTTTGAAGCACATTACCAACCAACAACAACAAAAACAACAACTTTGGATGATTTTGCTCTAACCCAATTGCTGCAACAACAACTCATGCCCAAGATTCCTTATAATCCCCCAATAGAGGATATGCCTCTGTTGGTGATACAACTCACTAGTTTCCCTTGTGGTGGACTCACTCTTGGGGTGGCCATATCTCGTGTTGTGCTTGATGGGGTTGGTTTCATGGTTTTCCTCAACTCTTGGGCCAAATTGGCTAGGGGAGAGAATCTAGATCCTTCTGAGATACCATGTTATGATAGAGCTTTATTGAACTTAAGCAGGGTCCACATCTTGCAGCGTTTTCAATTTCATCACCCGGAGTTTCAACCACCACCCCTTTGGGTAGGTAGCTTCTTGGTAGATGACACCAAGTATGACACTATTATTGAGGTTTTCAAACTCACCAAAGCCCAAGTTCAGAAGCTTAAGGAGAGAGTCCTTATTGACTTTGGCAATGGAAATTCTCCACAGCAAAATTGTACAAGTTTTGAGGTTATTTCTGGGCTCCTATGGAGGTGTGTCTGCAAGGCACGTTTTGCTGGCAATGGTGACCAACCAACAAGAGTGTCCACCTTGGTTCATTGTAGGAACCGGTTGAAGCCACCCGTGCCAAATTCTTATTTTGGGAATGTAGTTCTTCCAACTGTGACAAGAACCTGCACCTTTGATGATGTCATTTACAAGCCTTTGAGTTATGCTGTTGGGAACATAAGAGAAGCTTTACGGAGGTTGACTGATGAGTATATAAGGTCTGCTCTTCAATATATAGCTGATCAGAAGGATGTGAGTGTGGTGAGAAATAATGTTAACTTCAATGTAGCAAGTGCTGGAGGACAATTTAGGGGAAACCCAAGTCTATCTATTGTTAGTTGGATGAATTTTCCTTTTCAGGATGCGGATTTTGGGTGGGGAAAACCTGTTTATCTACTTCCAGGGAACATAAATTCTGAAGGGAAGGCCTTTATTATGAATAATGGTAATGGTGATGCTGATGGTGAATGTATCATTGTAGCTATTTGCTTGCTTGCATCCAATATGGATGCTTTCAAGAAGTTCTTTTACGAGGATGTAGCAGAGGTACTTAGTTCTTCCAAGCTGTGATGTTTGTGGCAGAACTTCTCGTGCCAAAGAGGTATTAGTACACAATGTGGCTGCTATTTTGCTATTGTTACTATATATACATAGCGTGTAAATAGATTATATTAAGTTAGGTTGGGCCTAATTAGGTATAGATTCCATAAAATGTTTCGAGTCTGCCTTGTCCTATAAGTCTCATGTAAATTAAATTATAGACTTGTTTTCGCCTATTAGCACACTACAAACTAAATGATATACATATTGTAGCCTTTTTGGTTTGGCCAATTCAAACCTATCAAGTCCTTAAGTCCTTTTAGAAATTAAAAAATTGTCTAAAACAATACTATTTTATTATTTAAATAATTATCTTATTTTATTTCATTTAAAATAAAATAGTATGATATACCTCAATCTACATATTTGTAAGCCATGTTTTCTAAAATAAACAGGTGATCTATTTTTTATTTAGGCTTTTTTTAATATCTAATCATGTTCTATTTTATCAAATATATTAGGTTAGATCAAGCTTAATGCATTCCACTATAAGCGTAACCATTTGATCTATTTTTACACTCAAATATGTACGCTTAAAATCAAGCTTAATATGATTTTTTATTTCCAAATTTCTATTATGTAAATTATATTTATAAAATAGTAAATTAATTTAAAATTATTTATACCTCATTATATGATAAATTTAATTTCATATAAATTTTGAAATATTTAATTATATTCATATTATTTATTTATTTATATTAAAATTTAACAAATGCTCAAAATAATAAGTGAAAAGTGTGTGCCATTTTAAAGGAGGTAAAGTTGTATCATTTTAAGAGAGAGAAATAGATAGATAAAGGAGGAGAGAAAGTTGACAAAAAAAATAAAGGTGCGGGTCTCATCTCTTTGTGAAAGGAGATATAAGTTATGTCATTTAAAATGATAAATATCTTTCCCAAATAATAAATAGTTACAATGATTATTAAATAAAATAAGAACGTTAAATATTATACTTGTACAAATAATGTCCTTTATTTTTGCAATTTGTTTCAAAAAAGTTTAATAAAAATATAAAAAAAAAGTTCAAAAAATGGTGAGACTAGAGCACCATCACCATCTAGAAAAAAATTTGAATACCACGGTGGTACTGAACTCAGTAACTCATCTTTCCAAAATAAGAAATTTTTAATATTATATGTATCCAGTATTTTTTATTTATTTACCTTTATACCTTTTTATTTTCTAAATGGAGAAAGATTGTATCTAGAACGGGGTACACAAAATTCACTCCGCGATCTATTGGTTGCCTTATTGCCTACCTACAATTACAATGGGTTTCATTTTTACCTGCGGAATGGTGGGAGCAAACGGTGGCTAGCGACACAGAAAAACAACGTATGGAGAAATTAAAGGCTTGATGGTTCCTTCGTTTGCGATTTTCAATACTTTTATTTTTTCACTGAAATCCACTAAACTAAACAAATGCAACGCCTAAACTCTTTCACTCTAATTTCTAAGGGTAACTTAATTAAAGTATCAATTAAGAGTAAATATTTTATAATTTAAAAACTATTATTTTATCCATTTTATTATTAAGAGAAGACAATGGGGAGAAAAACGTTGGTGCACCCGGTGCTTTCTTTTGCTAAAAAGGAAAAAAAATCCATTTTACCTATTTTTTTATATTTTCTTTTAAGTCCTAAAAAAATTATTTTTTTAATAAGAGAGAACATCAAATTCAGTGCTCCGAGTGCACCAAAGTTTTTCTCGTGTAATTGGTGGAAAAGCTACTTGTTGGGCCGATATGTGCTAAGGGAATTGTTAGAGCAAAATTAGTGTGGAGCAAGTATTCTGTTCGACAAGCAATTAATCATGTAAAGAGAAAATCTATCCAAATTGCGCAAGCATGCGCATTAAGTAATATAGGGTCTGTTATGAGCCCCAGATTATCGTTCTCATGGAACAATTATAAAATTGACGTTTAAAAGAAATGTAATTAAGAAAAAGAAAACAGAGAGCAAAAATGAGTAAAGAGCAATTTGCTTCAAGGAGCCAATTCGTTCTCAAATCAAGGTTAGCCAATAAGCACTTGTCACAAGCTGATTGAACAAAGTCAAAGAATCTAAATGACTAAGAGCTGGATTTTTCCCTTAAGTTTTAATGAACTTTGCCTTGAAATAAATTGGAAAACGTGGGAATTGGAAGCAATGAACAGAAAATAAAGAGATCAGGAGCACTAGTGTCAGAAACAAAGAGCAAAGCAGTAATTCTTTTTCGAATTTTTATAGTTGTCAAAAAAGTAACAAAAGAGAAATAAAATAACGTAGAATCAAGATAAAAAAATTGTAGGCTTAGGTTGGTATTTTCGCCATCTTGGTCGCTCCTACAATGTCATAGGTTTTCAAAAATAAAATGTGTTCCCAGCATCTATTCTGGGTATGGAGATAGATTTCTCTATCTACACATTTTTTGCTCCCTAAGTGAAACAAAGCAAACAGGCCTTACTTGCTCCAGATTCCGTCAGAAGTACTCTCAAGTTGAAACTTAAGGGAGATTATGTTTGCCTCCTTTGAAGAAGTATGGCTGAAGAGATCACTAGCAAAAATGATTTACGCATAACAGTACTCCTCAATCGGGATATTCCTCTGAATCATAGCAAAATGTCTTAAGATTTCTAATATTGTTCCACACTGCCTTGTGATGGTTTCATCGACCAAGTGATCCTGGGATGAGGTTGCAAACCAAAAGGTGTTACAAAATTAGAGCATTTAACCAAGAAACAACACATTTTTCATTGAAGAAAACATATTTTCGTTACAAGTTCAACCTAAGACAAAGAGTTGTACTTCTACTTCACCCTTGCCTACTAAAAATACTCATACTAAGGAGCATAATGAAATCTTAACTACAAAAAGAAAATAAAAAACAAAGGAAGAGAAAAAAATTCTAAGGAGGACGTTGAGTCCTTTCAAAGAGTGTAAAAAAACTTCTAAAGGTAGTTATTTCTTCAGTATTTATAGGTGAAATATTCATTAAAGGTGTTGTCTTAACAATTGATTTAATCAATGGTGTAGATTTCATCAATTGCTCATTGATCTGTGACGTGCTCCTGTCCAAGTCAGCCCTAAATTCCTTTTTCTAAGCTTCTTTTCTACATTCTTTTGCTGCATTTTGGTGCTGTAACGTTGGCAAAATGTTGCACCATTCTCCCTCTGCAATCGCTGATGTGTTCGCATCCAAATGGTTGCTTTTTCTGAAGAAAAAAAAAAGAACGTTGTACAATGCTTTTTATGCTCCTTCTGATTTTGTGTCTTTTTTTTTTGTCTCCTTTTATCTCTTTCTTCTTTCTTTCTCCCTAAGTTTGATTTAACTTTGAATTGGGCCTCCTCTAAATGGTCACTGGGCCTCCTGAAGATGCAAAACAATCCATTTGAGCCCAAAAATGATAAAAATAAATCATTTTATACTCAGTTGCTCTCTAATTTCAAAAACTGCGAGTTGCTCCGACCTTGTTTACGGAAAAGTGCTTCTGAACGCAAAATTACAAATAAGCAATAAAAAAATAGCAACAAAAGATGGGGAATTTAATAATAAAATACACAAGATAGCTATCAACTTTTGAGAGCTATCAAAAGCAAAGGCACATTTATCACATGTGGAGCGTTGCGAAACATTCCTTATGTGTATTAAGTCACCCATGAAATAATGCAAAATATGTGTATCAAGGCTTAATATGATTTAGCAAGTAATGGTAGCTCAGATGAAGTCAGGGAATCGGGTCGCCGATTGGAATATCTCCAAAAGGATAAAAGCTTAATATTATTTTTATTTCAAAATTTCTATTATGTAAATTATTTTTAAAAAATATTAAATTTATTTAAAATTATTTGATACTTCATTATATAATAAATTTAGTCATATAACTTATGAAATATTTAATTATATTCATATTATTTATTTATTTTGAAATTTAAAAAAATGCTAAAAATAATAAATAGTTACAACGATTATTAAATTATTAAGTAAATATAAGAATGTTAAATATTATACTTGTATAAACAATGGCCTTTATTTTTGAAATTTTTTAACAAAGAGTTTAATAAAAATATAAACAATAAAATTCAAAAAATGGAGACTAGAGTACCAACACGAACTGTTGTTTCCTAGCTACAAATGGAACAAATTTTAGTGCTCAGTGCAACGGTGTGGTATTATAATTATATATTATGGAAGTATATAATTATAATGTTAAAAAAATTATCTCATTAGAAATTTTTCAAAAACTTATCGACTGATGCGAAAAAGAAAATAATAATTTTAATAATATAATTATATATTCTCCAAATACATAATTATAATACCATTATTATTGTTCCTACAAATGGGTTTCGCGTTTTACCAACTATGGGAAAAAATTTATGGTGATCTCGGCCTATCATGCTCTTCCCATTGAGCATGTGACACTTGGAAAAAGAAGATTTTTTTTCTCTCCTCATATTCTCTTTTCTGTGTCTTTCCTCCTGCCCATTGAATGCCCCGAAATGGTGGGAGCAAACGGTGGCTAGCGACACAGAAAAAATAACGTATGGGAAAATTAAAGGCTCGATGGTTCCTTATTTTGCGATTTTCAATATTTTAATTTTAGGAATTAATATTTCTCATATTTTATTATTTCGTATATATATATATATATATAAAAATACGTGGAATTCATATGACATTATATAAAGAGAAAAGAAAAATATAGATCTTACATATTTTTATGTGGATCATGATCATTTTACACCAGTGTAAGTTACACTTTCAATCTTGACCATTGATCTCACTTATATTTAGGGGCTCTAATTTTTTAGTAATATAAACCATTGGATACAAATAGATCAATGATCAAAATTGAGTGTAAGACTTCTAACTCTTACACTGGTGTAAAAATATCCTGCCCCTTTTACACCACATCAATCCACTAAACTAAACAAATGCAACGGCTAAACTCTTTCATTCTAATTTCTAAGGGTAACTTGATTAAAGTATCAATTAAGAATAAATATATTATAATCTAAAAACTATTTTTTGATCCATTTTTTAGAGAAAAAATTGGGCTGAAAAGAAAATATTTTACATCATTGATTAAAAAAATATTTAATTGTTTACTGATTTTTTTGTGGATAATATTATATATATAAAAATTTTCTCAATTTTTTAGTACTTTTTATTTGTATTTATCTATCACCGACTTTAATTATTTGAAATAAAAATATCGTTGATGTTGATTCTTGATTAATTCAAAATTTAAATATTTTATCAAAATAATATAATATAATAGGAATAAAATATTCATGCATAGGGTTACGTGTAACTTGTAGAAAAACAAAGGCAGATCTATCACATAATTCACTATGTATAGAGAAGCTCGTAGAATTAACCACCAAGCCGAGACAAGAAGCAGATAAAAAATGGTTAAGATCCATAGTTCTTACCCTGTGATCCCTTCAGAATCCACACCAACACCAAATCTATCTCTATCACAGTGCGATCAAATCAAGCTTCCCACTCACGGATCTCAACTTTATGTTTACACCAACAACAACACCTGCAACATCAGTGATGATTCACCTCTCAGAACAATCAGAACCTCTCTCAGCAAAGCACTGACTCACTACTACCCCATGGCTGGTCGTTTGTGCTGGATCCAAGGTGGTCGCTTGCAACTCCTTTGCAACACTAAAGGGGCACTTTTCTTTGAAGCCACTTGTGATGATGAGGTCAGTTTAAATGATTCTGGTGATTTTGTTCCCACCCATGTTGTTGAACAACTTGTGCCAAAGGTTGACTATGGTGTCCCAATTGAGGACATACCCTTGTTGTTGGTTCAGTTGACTATGTTCCCATGTGGTGGATTCACTCTAGGACTTGCCTTATGTCGTGCTGTGCTTGATGGAGCTTCTGTTGGGAGTTTCATCAACTCATGGGCCAAACTAGCCAGAAAAGAGAGTTTAGATTCCAGCTTAATCCCATTGCTTGATAGAACTCTGTTAGATTCAAGAAAACTTAATATGTCTCCACGTTTTGAACATCATGAGTTTTTCCCACCACCCCTTTGGGCAGGTATGTTAAAAAACACCAAGATGAGACTTTATCCTACTACTACCACTGCCATGTTGAAACTCACCAAAGGCCAAGTTGAGAAACTGAAGAAAGCATGTGACTTTACTCAAGTGAAACCTTATACTAGTTTTGAGGTCATTAGTGGTCACTTGTGGAGATGTGTTTGTAAAGTTAGGTATGAAGGGAATTGGGACCAGCCAACAAGGTTAACCACATTGGTCAATTGTAGAAACAGATTGAACCCACCTCTCCCTCATGCTTATTTTGGGAATGCAACATTTCCTACCGTGACACCAACTTGTTCATTTGATGACATTGTGCACAAGCCTCTGAGTTATGTAGTTGGGAAAGTGAGGGTAGCAATTGAGAGGATGAGTGATGAGTATGTGAGGTCTTCTCTTGACTATATGGCAAATCAGAAGGACTTGAATTTGTTTAGGGACATATTTTACAACTCTGCAGGAAGTGTGGGAGGACAATTCAGTGGTGACCCGAATCTTTATGTTGTTGGTTGGACGAATTTTCCATTTTATTCAACTGATTTTGGGTTGGGAAAACCTGCTTATATGGTTCCGGGGAACATAAATTCTGAGGGTAAGGCTTTCCTTTTGAACAATGGAAATGGTGATGGTTTCATTGTAGCTGTATGTTTGCAACCATCCCATATAGATGCTCTGAAGAAGTTGTTTTATGAGGGTATGGAACCTAGTTCCAAATTGTGATGTCAGTCAAATGAGTTAACCTTGAATTTTGTTGATTTTATTTAGATATCCATTAGTGTCCCAACTCCTAATGAATCTGATTAATCCGATTTCCGGTTTGTAACTCTCCACTCTTCTTAGAAATTACAACTTTTAGGATTCGAACCCATTAACCTTTGTAAAATCTTCTTTCAAATAAAGCTTCAATGTGAATTCTTGGATTTGGTTGAGGTCGTTGATAATTTATTTATTTATTTTTTTGTTACGGTTAGCTTTTTCGTGTTAGGAAATACTCTTGGATGTCAGTGTAACAAAATTTCTGGTAGTGCCAAAAGTTTAAATTGTTCGGTGTTTTAGTAAAGTTGTGTGTATCAATCACAACTCACACTTCTTTATTTTTTTAATATTATTTTAACCGACTTTACAATTACATTACTTTGTTCGGTGGAGTTCCTGAAACTTGTCTCTTTGACTGCCCAACTGGAGTGCCTTATCATTATCCATTTCAAAATTGTACCAAATAAATAAAATTTCCAAGTTGCAAGCACCGAATGATGGCAAAATTGGGAAGCGTATTGTCAATGTCATGTGTGATGTGTCCATTTTCGTTTCTATTTGTCTATTATCACTTTCATTTAACTATTCTTTTATTTTGCTAAAATATCGACTCTACTAAACAATTGACGACGTACAAATGTCGCGGCTACATTGGTTAAACTAATTTTTTAATTTCCTCAAGCGTACGGACAGCTAGTTCGTCATTGAGGGTAGATTCAAAATGTCATATATACCACTGATTAACTGGTAAAAAATTATTTCAGTTTAATTAGTAATTTAGAATTTGAGATTTTGGAAACATACAATTTTATTACAATTTGGTGGGAAGAGCTTTGCTCTCCAAATAATCTTATCAGATTTAAATTGCATTAGTTGAGTAATCAATATAATTAATAAAAAAAAAAAAAAGAATTGTCATCCTGACTTATAATAGTATAGAACTGATGCCTCAGTCATTAATGATCTTGAAATCAGTGAACAAGTTACTATTGCAACAAATTTAATTTTAACTTAGCCATCAATAAATTTAGTGGCCTAACGATAACATATTGAACTTGAGCATAGGTAAGAGGAGAGGTTGTTGGGAGCATGCCAATGTTAGAGTGATATGGAGAAGGAGAAGCATTAATATGAGGAATTAGAGTTTAATAGGAGTTCTTTAAGGTGATGACACGATCTAAGGTTGAGCGATTGGGAGATGTGGTGCTTAAAAAATAAGGGGATCCAAGGGAGAAGGAGTGGAAGGAACAAAAGAAAATTGAAGGGTATTCTATTTTTCTGTTTGTGAGTTAAAAAATGGTAAGAAAGAAAAATAGATGATTAATGAAATATTTTTATCATTTTACACTTTCTTTAAAATTAATATAATTATTATATTTTACAAATTAAATTAAACTATATTTAAAATTTCTAACAAAATTTTTACGTTGCAAACGACAATAATTTTGTCACAAAATTATTTTTTCGTCGGAATACTTTTCGTCGAAAAGTGATGGAATTTTTTCTTCGATTAAATTTTTGTAAAAAATTTCTATCAAAGTTTTTGACAAAATTTCATCCAAAGTTTTGACGAAAAATGATTTCCTCCATCAAATGTTTTAAATGAAAAAAGAATTCCGTCAAAAATTTTGACGGAATGTTTTTCGTTCAAAATTTCAAAGGAAAAGTGTTCTGACAAAAATTTCGATGGAAATTGTTTTGCCAAACTTTTGAGGGAAATGTTTCATTCGAAACTTTCAAGGAAATTTAGATTCTGTAAAGAATTTTGACAGAATCTTTTTTCCGTCAAATTTTTTTATCAAAATATTTATCGTCAAAAATTTTTACGAAAATATTTTTTGTCAAAAATTTGTGACAGAAATGTGTTCCGTTAAAATTTTTGGTGGAAATGTTTTTTTTATCAAAAAGCTTGACGGAAATATTTTTCGTCGGAAATTTTCGATGAGAATGTGTTTCATTAAAAAATTCGACGGAAATTTTTTCTGTTAAAAAGTTTAACGAAAATGAGTTTTCAACCGAATTTGAATTATGTAAAGAATTTTGATGAAATTTTTATCCGTTAAAAATTTTCGATGGAAATGTGTTTCATTGAACATTTTGATGGAAATATTTTTCGTCAAAAATTTCGATGAATATGTTTTTTGTGAAATATTACGGAAATGTTTTGACGAAATTTAGATTCTGTAAAAAAGTTTGACAAAAAAAAATTTCCGTCAAAATTTTTTACAGAAATATTTTTAGTCACAAATTTTGATGAAAATATTTTTCGTCAAAAATTTTGATGGAAATGTTTTCCATAAAAAATTTTGGCGTAATTGTTTTACGTCGAAACTTTTCGATTGAAATGTGTTTTGTCAAAATTTTGGACGAAAATATTTTCGTGAAAAGTTTTGACGGAATTATAGAATAACTTTGACTGAATTTTTTTTCCGTTAAAATTTTATGTCAGTGATTATGACAAAATCTGATTTCATCTTTAGTTTTGATTGCAATTTTTTGACGTATATGATTTTCATCAAAAAATTTATCACTATTTGTGACGAAATATTTTTTGTCGATAAATTCTGTCGATATTTGAGACTTTTCTAATAATTTCACATTTATGTAGTTTTCACATTTTAATGCTAAGGGTAGATAAGTAATTTTTAATATTTTCTCCCTTAAACCTCCCAAATTGGGGAAACTTTAATTTTAAAAAGAAGGAGGATTTTCGAGGGTTTAGTAAAAATCTCTAATTTCTTCCCCTCGTTTTTTTAAACTCACAAACAAGGGAATGACTTACTTAAACCCTCCCTTTCTTTTCCCTCCTCAAATCAACTCCCAAACAAAGCCTAAAAGTTTGGTCATAATTGTATTCCCAAAGACTCAGAGAGAAATAATAATATGAGCAGAGAGCATGAATTCCCCCTCTGTGAGTGTAATGGTGGTATATGTAGGAGGATAAAATTTCCTCGACGCATGTTGTTGTTATCCATCATGGGAAAATATTTTCGTACTAAAGATGTATCATACATTCAATACATTTTTTATCAAGGAATATGTTATTCTACTTATCATTTTTTCTGTTTATCTTTGCCTACCACTCTCCAACACCGTTTGATCAGAATCTCCATAGGAGAGAGAAAGATAAAAATTAGTTGAGATTCTGATCTAATAGTATTTTAAAGTGGGAGGCAAAGATAAGCAGAAAAAGAGATAGATAAGGGAGTACATATTCTTGTTACACAAAAAAATGTATTCTATGAAAAAATATTTCAGAACTACAAATATGCCAAACATTCGATTTAGGGTTTACCGTTGCACAAAAAATGTTCTCCCATTGTGAGCCCCACGTGCACACAAGAGGCATGGGATGTGAAGCGAGATCAAATAATTTTGTAATGGCCGTATAATGTAAGGTTTGAAAAAGTTTTACATTAAGGTTGATTCAAGAAAAATTAAAATCTTATTGAAATAAAAGTTTTTTTACTTTCAATATTGAATAAAGGTAATCCTAATTTTTTAGTTATTTAATATTATGATGTTTGGTTTTATTTTTTGACTTAAAAAAGAGTGTTAAAAGTAATAAAATTTTTATAATTAAAACTATGATAATTGTTACTTAGAATTTTAGATTAGGGTGAGAGTGACAATAAAATATCATTTTTTAAATTCAATCCATCTATTTAGTAAAAAGGACATTTAAAGAAAGGAAAAAATATTTCTGCAGTTAATGCAGATAAGTTATCAGCATCTATTTTCAAAACGACGTCGTTTTGGTATTGAAATCTTAAAAAAGTATAAATATAAAGACTATTATAACCCTGAAATAAATTAAAATTACAAAAATACCATGATTTCTGTCCCAAAATGACGTCGTATTGGACTTACTACATATAAGTTATCTGCGGTAACTGCAGAAAAAACGAACCCTTAAAGAAAATAAAAAAAAATAGTTGTAAAACAATAACAGTAGAAGAGTAAAATCTCCATAAGATATTCATTATTCGAAATCACTTTCATAATTTTCTGTCAGCTAAATCAACGCATTAGAACATTATCGATCTGATTAATCAAATTTAAAGATGCTTATGAAATCAACTCGGTGCAAAAACCCGAGTGCATGCAAGAAAATTTCTCTTATTGCTTGGGAGTTTAGAGGGGAAGGACATAGAAGGGAAGGATGATAAATGGTATTTTCTTTCTTTGATTGTGTTCTGTTTGAAGGACAGAGGTGTCCAGCTAGTGGCTGGTATATTTTAAGTAGGATCTAGGTGTTCTCTCTCAAGTATCTATGAATGAGATACCCTTGAGGGGTAGGCTGATCACTGTGCACAATAATAATCGACATAGTCAAGGCGTGTGGTGTGTGCACAGTGACAAGTTAAGAGAGAGGGTTTAGAGAGTGTGTACCTTATTGGTTTAACCCCGTATTTATAGATGGGTTACATGAAGGAGTGTACTTCTGGGCCTCTTAGGAATATTGGGAGCCCAAGTCCAACTGTTTAGCTGTCTAGATAGGATCGTCATCAATAGGAGATTCTCTTCCTTTTGTGCTGTCCTTTATTGGTCCTTCTAGAATATGGGCCTTTGTCAGGTCCATAACAGATTGAGAGTTAAAAACGTAGTTATAAAACCCAGCCCGACCCGGCCGGGTTGACTCGGAACTCGGTAAATCGGTCATCGAACCGGTTTGGGACAAGCATTGGACCGGTCATGCATCGACCCGGTCAAACCCAGTCAAAACCCGGCCAAACCCGGTGACCCAGTGACCCAGGTCGAGTCATGCATTTAAAAAAAAAACTAAAAACTAAAATTGTTTCATCTTGTAAAAAAAAGGGTATAACTCATTTTAAAAAAAAATTTGTAATTTCATTGCTAGTATTACAATGACTTCAAATTTCAGCTTCCAATACTGAAGCAATTTGCGAAATAATAAATTAAGAGAATGTGACATATGTCATTTTTATTGTAGTTGATTTTGAAAAATATGAATTCAATGTCATTGAGAGGTATGTTTATGAGGATTCTGAGTTGCAATTTAATTT